AGCAGCCCAGGTCATGCCCCACAGGCCTTGAACCAGTGCCAACACCTCCCCCAGAGCCAGCCACAGCCCACCAAGACACCACATATCCCTGGCCCCGATGCCCACCCCAGATCCAGCCGGATCCCAGTAAGGGTCCCCATATCCCCAGCCCCAATTCCCCCCACCAAGCCAGCCTGGACTCACCAGCTTGCCTGCCGTGTCGCCCTTCCACGTGGTGATGACCAGTTCTAGCAGGTCAACGTCCAACACGCACACATAATCTGCAGCCCCAGAGAGGAGAGATGCAGCTCTCAGATGCCTGGCTTCTCTCCCCGCTCTGGGTGGGGAGGTGGGGCTGGGAGACTAGAGCAGGGGCAGCTGGGAGTCTGGATGCCTGGGGTCTCTTCAGCTATGGGAGTGGAACGGGGGGCTGTGGGGTAAGTGTGGAGGCAGCTGGGAGCCCACTCTCCCTAGTCTGGGAGGGGTATGGGAAGTGGAGGGGTTAGAGCAGGGGAAGCTGGGAGCCTGGATGCCCGTGTCCTCTCCTCGCTGTAGGAGTGTGGGGGAGCTGAGGAACCTGGGCACCTCCTGTAATTTCAGTTCTCAGATACACCCCCCGGCGGCCTTTGGATGTGTTGGAGCCTGACCCCTGTACCCCTCCCACTGCCAGCCTACGAACAGACCGGCAGGTCCCCCTTCCAGATCCTGACCAGAGAGAACCCTGCTGAGCCTCAGAGACCTAGCAGAACGCCCAGCCCAAGGCGCCACAGGGGCAAAAAGGGGCCTTACCCTGGCCGACTGATGGACAGACAGAGGTTGGGGACGGGGGGAAGGGGTGGCACCATTACCTTTGCGCAGGTCAACAGAGTCAGCCTCACACTTGTCCGATAAGTAGATGGCCGAGTCATCTAGGATGAACCTGCCGGGGTGCGGGGGGAGCAGAAACCTGGTCAGTTGGGGAAGTCGAGGCTGGATCTGGGCCTGATCCTGGGTGGGAAGGGGGTGGGGCTCACCGGAGCAGGAAGATGGATGTGTCCACGATGATGTTGCTGGACAGGGTAAAGGTCTCAGCTGTGATGAGCACCCGGATGGGGAGGTAGAGGGGCCTGCAGGGGTGCGGAGGGAAGAGGTGCTGAGTGGGGACAGAATAGCAGACGTCCAGGCTCCCAGCCCCGCCTGCTCTCGCCCCCAGCACCCGTCCCTGCCAGAGCTGGAAACAGCCCAGCCATCCGGTCTCAGCCCCACATGCTCTAACCCCCCAGAGCAGTGAGGGACTTTAACCACCCCCAGCCAAGCCCCAACACCCTTCCCAGAGTGGGAGAGGAACCCAGGAGTCCAGGCTCCCAGTCTTACGTGCTCCGGGCCCCCAGCCCCCCTCTCCCCTCTGGAGCAGCGGGGAACCCAGGCATCCGGGCTCCCCCCACCCATACCTGTAGTCCACGGCGCAGCTGAAGAGGTGCGTGTGCAGCACCGTGATGACAGTCGGGGGGTCGTAGCCCAGGATGGGCTCATCCACGACATCCAGGAACTCGATGAGCTGCAGGGTGAGACCGGGGCTGGGACACTTGGGGGCACTCCAGACCCATGGGGGGGGGTCCCCTCCACCTCCCAGGGCATCAGTGTTGGGGACCCCCCTCTGGGTGCGGACAGATTTGACGGTTATCCTGGGATTCGATTGCCCCAGGGCAAGATGCCCTCCCCCAGAACACGATGCCCTCAATTCGGGGTCTCACCTGCGTGTACCAGCTCTGATTGGGCAGGGCCATGTAGTGCCTCATGGTAGCTCCTTCCAGCTGCACGGTCACCAGGAACTCCTGGGGGGGAGGAAAAAGAAGGGGTGATCTGGGGGGTCCAGGATCAGCAGGGGGCAGTCAGGAACCAGGGGGTGGAGCCTCAGAAGGGGCGTGGCTTCCGAGGCTGAGCTGGGGGGGGGGGGGCCCCCCCCCCCCCCC